GCTTATGTGGTGCTGAGGAATCGAACCCAGGGCCTTGAGCATGCAAGGCAAGCGCTCTACCACTGAGCCACCTTCCCAGCCCCAAAACTGTCAGTTCTTAAAAAGATCAACATAGCCACTATGACCCAGTAACTCCACTCCTACACTTATACCCAAGAGAATCAAAAACACCCATTTGCACAAAAACTTTCACATGAATCTCACAGCAGCCATAAAGTAGAAACAAAAGGTTATATATATATAGATAGATAGATAGATAGATAGATAGATAGATATCCATACATATTATCTGACCATAAACAGGATCAAAGTGTATTGAGTCGTGTTAGGTGAAAGGCCTCAGTTACAATGAACTATGTACTTATGATTCCATTTATATGAAATATCTAGAACTGGTAAACTGAGAGTCAGAAGATAGACTAGTAGTTGCCTGGGGCTGGGAGGAAATTAAAGGATGAAACTAAAGAGTGCAGGATTTCTTAGTCATAAAAAGATTCTAAATAGTTGTACAAATCTGAAAATCTAAAAGACGGTACCCCCACACAGTATGGCCTGTGTGCTCACCCACTGGTACACACACACTTGCTCTCAAGCTCCTACTCTCTCTCTTCTCATTCTCCCCTCACCCTGCTACCTCTAGCCATCTGCCAATGAGTCACACATTAAGAAACCCAGAGTAAACAATGATCCCATCAGCAACACTTTTGCTGTGTTACCAACAAAGGAACATATCTCTTGTCCTCCAGAGTTCCAACTGAGGAGGCTGGGCATAAGTACACACTCCTTACTGCAGGGGATCTTTATCAAGCCCTAGAGTCCACTGAAAGCTCTTTCACTAGGTTAAGAAAAAACCTCCCCTGACTCCTATTTTTGGAGTGTTAGTAGGGATTCATGGCACAAAACTGCTCTTCAAAGGAAGACCAATAGATGTGGAGATGTATGCCTGTAATCCCAGCTTTCAAGAGGTTGAGGAAGAAAACCCATTTAAAGCCAGCTTGAGCTACACAGCAAGATCCTATCTCAAAAACAAAACAAAAGCCCAAGAAACTCTTCTTCAAACTGTAATAACACAACACATATTGCTGTAATGAAGATTAACTCTTTTTATAGTCATAGAACCACTTATTTCTTTGGCATCATATGTTGATATTATCATACCTACTGAATCTTGGCAGATAAGCTGGAAATTTACAAGTTATACTTGTAAATTTCAAGTTATACTTGTAAATGACATTTCTGGTGCCAATTAAAGAGTGAACCGAATGACAGAAACACAAAATATTCTGAACAAAAATTCATGTTGAAATGATTCATTAAAATTAAGTGAGCTTCATGGCATTCAATTGTGACATTCACAACACAATAATTTTTCATGCAATAAATCACTGCCATTGAATAAGTCTATGTCAAAACAAAAGATCTTATTGAAATGAAGATCAGATAATGTTCTGGAATAAGCTTCTCTTTTCAATATTATAGAATGTTTCACAGAAAAAGTATAGAAAGTCCTCTAACACCAAATATGAAAAAATGTTTGTGAATCTTCCAGGAAAATTGTGTTGATTTCCTATGAAATTTTGCTAATTTTTCATTACATATTGACACTATATTACTATATATATAACTATATATACATATAACTAAAATTATTAACTATTCATAATTAATTGTTGCTTTTACCATTTCCAGTAAGTTTCTTTATCTCTACTAATGCTTTTTCCATTCAAAGAATTTGAGGAAGCCAGGTGCTGGTGGCTCACACCTGTAATCCTCGCTATTCAAGAGGCTGAGATCTGAGGTTCCATGTTTGAAGCCAGCCCAAGGCAGGAAAATCCATGAGACTCTTATCTACAATTAAGCACCAAAAGCCAGAAGTGCAGCTGTGGCTCAAGTAGTAGAGTGTTAGCCTAGAGCAAAACTACTCAGGGGCAGTGTCCAAGACCTGAGCCCAAACCCCAGTACCAACACACACACACACACACACACACACACACAGACACACACACACACACACACACACACACACACACACACACACACACACAGTGAGCTAGTGGCTCACACCTATAATCCTACCTACTTGGGAAGCTGACTTGGAAGAGACACACACACACACACACACACACACACACAGTGAGCTAGTGGCTCACACCTATAATCCTGCCTACTTGGGAAGCTGAGACTTGGAAGACACACACACACACACAGTGAGCTAGTGGCTCACACCTATAATCCTACCTACTTGGGAAGCTGAGACTTGGAAGATAGTGGCTCATACCTATAATCCTACCTACTTGGGAAGCTGAGACTTAGAAGATACCAGTTCAAAGGCAACCCAGAAAGAAAAGTCCACAAGACTCCATTTCCAATTAACAAACAAAAAGCCAGATTGGATGCTTGTCTCAAGTGGTTGAATACCAGCCATGAGCAAGCAAAGTTCAATCCCTTAATACGATTTCTTCCAAGTCTGACATAGGTCCCATGGTTTCCCTTATTACCAATAATTAGTATACATCTAGGATAATCTTAGCAAATGAGCAGAATGGCTCAATAACTACGTACATATGACCATATAAGTGAAATTAACTCCAAGACATGGACACAAGAGGTTTTTCTTTGTTGTTGTGGTTTTTAATGTACTATGTGATTTCTTGTTTCTTTTGTGTATTCTTCCCCCTATGGTCTATCCCGTTGTCACTGTATTTGATTTTGGTACCCTGGTATTGTACATATGTTTATCTGAATTAGGGAAGGGAAGGGGAACAACAGAATGGTGAGACATAGGGGGAGCCTATGCAACAGCAATAATCACAAGACAATAGGTTGGAAATGACTGTACAATTTGGGGAGTGGGAGTTGGACTGCCTTGAGCAGAAGAGCTAAGGGACAGTACTCAGGCCCAGAGTTCAAGCCCCATGACCAACCAAAAAAAAAAATCAATAAAAAAATATATAAAAAAAGTTCAATCCCCAGTATTGGCAAAAGAACATAAAAAAGAAAAACAAGAAGAGAAAGAAACAAAAAGAAAAGATTGTTTTGGGGAGGACAGTTTTACTAAAGAAAATTTAGGATACTTAAAATTCAGACTTTTTAAATGCACTGATTCAAAGTGGGTTGTCTAATCTATCTTGATAATGTTAATACCCAAAATACCCCATGCTCCTTTGCAGTCAATCCCTTCCCTGTAACCACTGATCTGTTTTCCATCACTATAGCATTTTTGTTTTTTCCCTTTTACAGATTTTCATATAAGTGGAAACATGGTAAGTAGATGTTGGTATCTAGCTGCTTTTTCTTACAGTAATATCTTCCAGATTTGATCCTTGTTTGTGTGTGTCAGCAACTCATTCTTTTTCACTGCTAAGCAGTATTCCATTGTACAGATCATATCTATTGTTCATTAGTTAATGAACACTTGGGTTGTTCCTGATTTGGGCTATTATAAAGCTGCTATGAATATTCACTTGCAAGTCCTTATAAGAATGTGTTCATTCTTCTTAGATAAATAACTAGGAGTAGGACTGCTTGGTCATCTGATAAGCATGTTTAATTTTACAAGAAATAACAAACTGGGGCTGGGAATGTGGTTTAGTGGTAAGAGTACTTGCCTAGCTTGCCTAGCATACACGAACCTGGGTTCAATTGCTCAGTACCACATAAAACATAAAAAGCTGGAAGTGGCACTGTGGCTCAAGTGGTAGAGTACCTTGAGCAAAAGACGCTCAGGGACAATACCCAGGCCCTGATTTCCAGCCCCAGGATGGAAAGGAAAAGAAAGGAAAGGAAAAGGAAAGGGAATGGGAAAGGGAAAGGGAAACGGAGAGGGAGAGGGAGAGGGAGAGGGAAAGGAAGGGAGAGAGAAAGAGAATGAAAGAGAGAGAAAAGAGAGAGAGACAGACAGAGGGAGGGAGGGAGGGAGGGAGGGAGGAAAGGAAGGCTTGTTTTCCCAAGTAACTTTATTCCCACCAATGATATAAAACTGGTTTAGGGTGCTGGGAAGGTGGCTCAATGGTAGAGTGCTTGCCTCACATGCATGAGGCCCTGGGTTGGACTCCTCAGCACCACATAAGCCAAAAAAGCCAGAAGTGGCACTGTGGCCCTAGTGATATAGCGCTAGCATTGAGCTGAAGAGCTGAGGGACAGCACCAAGGCTCAGAGTTCAGGCCCTATGACCAACAAAACTTATTCAGTTACTCTACATCTTTGCCAAACTTGGTATTTAACAGTTTTTTTTTAAATTTTAGCCATTGTAGTGATATATATCAATGTGATTTTCATTTTAATTTCCTTAATGACTAATGGTGCTAAGGATCCTTTAATATGTTTATTTGCAGTCTGCCTATCTTCTTGGTAAAGGGTCTATTCAGATATTTTCCTCATTCTTTACTGGATTATTTTTCTTTTTATTAACTAGTTGCAAGTTATTTATATATTCTAGATACAAGACCTTTGCTCCAGATCAACTTCCACAAATAAGCTTCAATGGCATTATTAGAACTACACTAATTTTCTTTTGCTTGTTATTTAACTAGTACATATTTTCCTATCATTTCATTTTCAACCTTCTAAGTATAGTTTTAAGTTTGTCTTATAAACAACAAATAGGATTGAAATAACACAATTTGATAATCAGTTATTGTGATTATCACACAATTGGATTCTTATCACTACAGTTTATGCTAATTTACCATGCTAACTACCATGCTCCTTTTACCCAATTTTTTTTTTTTTGGGTCCGGTCGTGGGGCCTGAACTCTGGGCTTAGGCACTGTCCCTCAGCTCTTCAGCTCAAGGCCAGCGCTCTACCACTTGAGCCACAGGGCCACTTCCGGCTTTTTTCTTTTTGCTTATGTGGTGCTGAGGAACCGAACCCAGGGCCTCATGCATGCAAGGCAAGTGCTCTACCACTGAGCCATCTTCCCAGCCCCCCTTTTACCCAATTTTACAATCAGTTTTCCTTTCTAGTAATTCTTAAAAGCTTGAAATTCATATTTGACAAGTTTTCTAACAAAGTTTAAAGTTATGTGGTTTTTCTATCTTCCAGGCATATTCCTCATCCCAAGGCAGTATTACACTTTACTTACGTGGGACATAGCTATATCTTATACTTTTCTTTAGGGTAGTTAGAAAAATTAAAAAAAAAAAATCTTATCCAGGCACTGGGACTCATGCTTGTAAACCTACCTACTCTTAGATCTGAGAATCTTGGTTCAAAGCCAGCCTGGACAGAAATGCCTATGAGACTCTTATCTTCAATTAACCAGCAAAGAGCTAGAAGTGGAGTTGTGGCTCAAGTAGCACAGCGCTGCCTTAAGTGTAAAAAGCTAAGTGAGAGTGCTTCCTACTTTGAGCCACACCTCCACTCCTGGTTTGAGGGTAGTTAATTAAAGATAAGAGTCTCCTGGACTTTTCTACCTCGGCTGGCTTCAAACCTGGATCCTCTAATCTCAGCTTTCTGAGTAGCTAGGATTACAGGTGTGAGTCACCAGTGCCCAGCTTTGAAGTCCTCTTTAATTTACACTATTTCTGACACTCAATGGTCAAACAAAATAAAACAAAATAAAATTATATATAACTTACTTTGAATATTAACATGTATGTTTATGAACACCAGTCACTCTGTTTATCTAATTAGTAAGTATACTCCTTTTTCTGGATGCAGAAGTGGTATATCTCTCTGGCTTTTGCACTAAGGCTCATGACCAAACCCTCAGTCCTAATCTAGTGAGGAAATAAAAGAAACTAGAAGGAATCTATTTTTGGAACGGATATTGGTAGCTAACTTCTAGTTTCTAAAGACAATTTCTCATGGTAGTATCCCTTATCTACTCCTGGTATTGTTATTGGCAACTAGACCAGTGCCTAGTAGCAAAAGCGAAGGTGTTTCACTACAGGCAGTTCTGCAGCAGGATTTACAGGCATTGATGGCCTTTTGAATCTCCCAGAGATTTAATCTTCAATGATGCTCATACTGGCTTCTTTGAAAAGATAGAGGAAAAAAACCTGTGAAACTATGTGGTATTTTCTTGATTTTTTTTCCTTAAATTAAACCTTGAGAAATGCTATAACAAGCTACTTTATCACTGAGTTACATAGTCCCAGTCCAATTTTATTAATGATCAAATGAATAACTCATCTCTGTGAGTCTTACCTTTCCCCCAACCAAAGGCAAAATGTGCATCTTTCCTGTTTGACAGTCCTTTACTGAGGAAACAATAAGGCAGGTACCACAGAGAACAACTAGGCGTTCAGCCCACTTATGCAGCTGAGTCTTTCCTTTGCGTACATTATAGATGCCAGACAGTAGGATTCGATCCAGATGATCCATCTGGCATGGTTTTTCTGAAAAGAAAACAGTACTTCAGAATATACTGTTTAAAGTAGTATAGCACTGGAAGGGAAAAGGAGATTATTATGTGCCAACATTTGGCAATCTTATTTATAGATATAAGTAACCAAGCAATATGGATTTTACAAAGTAAGATCTCAGTCCCAAAATAACACTCCCCACTCACATAGTGGAAATACTGTGACTTTTGATGTACAGATCAACACTTCATTTCATATGTAACTATTAACCCTTCTTCATATAGCCATCCCTCATGCAGAGAAAAGCAGTATGGCAGAGAAGATCATGAACTTTGAAGTCAGACACAGCTGAATTTGAATACTAGTTCTGACAGTTATTTTGTGCCCTTAAACTACCTATCTTACGATTTTCCTTTCTTTACTTACAAAATTTGCATTCCATCACTGTATTATGATTTGGAGTTTAGGTTTTATTTTTATTTTTTTTGTCTCTCATGGAGCTTGAACTCAAGGCCTATGTGCTATCCCTGAGCTCTTTCACAAAGGCTAGTGCTCTACCACTTGGAACCACAGTACCATTTCCAGTTTTCTGGTGGTTAATTGGAGATAAGAGTCTCATGGATTTTCCTGCCCAAGCTGGCTTTTAACTGTGATCCTCAGATCTCAATCTCCAAAGTAGCTAGAATTACAGGCATGAGCCACCAGTGCCTGGCAGTTTAGACATTATTAACCCACTATCCTCATGTAGTTCTTTTAAAAATAATGTGCCGTAGTAGGCAGTTTTATGTACAAAGCATGGAATCTATGACAGCCATTAATGATATTAGTCTATTTCAGAAAGAAGAAAGGAAAAACTAATGGAGTTCTCTCCCTTTGTACAAAATTCTCTATCTCCATTCCTCATGAGGAAAAGTTTATGGGTGATATTTGAATGAAGTGCTCCTATCACAGTGGTGGGAAACTGACACATTAGTGTACAAGCTTCTCTTTAAGCACCCTCCCTATCATCAGAAGTCATATGACTGAGACACAGTAAAAAAGACATTGGTAGGGGCTGGGAAGGTGGCTCAGTGGTAGAGCGCTTGCCTTGCATGCATGAGGCCCTGGGTTGGATTCCCTAGCACCATATAAGCAAAAAGAAAAAAAGCCGGAAGTGGCGCTGTGGCTCAAGTGGTAGAGTGGTATCCTTGAACTGAAAAGCTGAGGAACAGTGCCCATGCCCAGAGTTCAGGCCCCACAACCGGACCCCTCCCCCCCCAAAAAAAAGACATTGGTACAGATAGAGATACAAGTTCTTGGTAAAAGTACTTCCAGAAACAAACAAGTACCATTCACAAAATGAAAGGAGCAGCAGGAATATGAGATATTGCAAACAGTAAACTGAGTTGAAAAACCAGAGTACATTATAGATATTCACACTTGAGACTACTTCAAAACCTCAAAATTATATTACTTAATAAAATCCCATATGTCAACATCAGACTTATTAGATAACATTTCTCCTCATATTGTAAGCAACCCTTCTACTTATATTCTAAAGTCTACCTTTCTTTTTTGTTGTTGTTGTTGTTTTTGGGGGGGGTCCGGTCGTGGAGCCTGAACTCTGGGCCTGGGCCCTGTCCCTCAGCTCTTCAGCCCAAGGCTAGCACTCTACCACTTGAGCCACAGCGCCACTTCTGGCTTTTTGCTTTTTGCTTATGTGGTGCTGAGGAATCGAACCCAGGGCCTCATACATACAAGGCAAGAGCTCTACCGCTGAGCCACCTTCCCAGCCCCTAAAGTCTACCTTTCTTAAGGTGGTTGGTTCTACCAAATCTATATTTCTGAATCTCTGGGTCTACAGCTACAGGTAGTTTACAGCTACCTGCTGGACATCCCCAAATGGGTGTTCACTGTTACTTAAAATTAAGCCATCACCATCCCTACAAATCAGCTCCTTCTTATATCTCCTGAAGTCACTCAGTCACACAATCAGAGTCTGCTTCTACTCTTGGTTCTCTTCCTCCACTTTCTGTTTCTGACAACCATTAACTTCCTGATTATTCTTTTGCAGAGTCTCTTATAGAAAAGACTGTTTCCTATTCCCTAATTCAGATGCCCTTAAATTCATTCCTGCATTATCTACCTTGCTACTAGATTCATCTTCTTCTGGCTCACTTATATCACAATACATCAATGAAAGTTAAACTGATAGCACACTCAAGGCCCCAGGCAATAACCAAGGAGTCTAAAGCTCATTACCAAGCTATTTACTTCTGGAAGTGGTGTTGTGGCTCAAGCAGTAGAGCGCTCGCCTTGAGCTGAAGAGCACAGGGACAGTGCCCAGGCCGAGTTCAAGCCCCAGGACCAAAAAAAAAAAAAAAAAAAAAAAAGCTATTTACTTCTTATGTTGTTGTTGTTGTTGGTCTTAGGGCCTGAACTCTGGGCCTGGGCGCGGTCCCTCAGCTCTTCAGCTCAAGGCTAGCGCTCTACCACTTGAGCCACAGCACCACTTCGAGCTTTTTTTTTCTGCTTATGTGGTACTGAGGAATCGAACCCAGGGCCTCATGCATACAAGGCAAGTGCTCTACCACTGAGTCACCTTCCCAGCCCATTTCTGCCTTTTTCTGCTTATATGGTGCTAAGGAATTGAACCCAGGGCCTCATACATACTGAGCCACCTTCCCAGCCCTAAAGCTATTTACTTGTAAGAGAATACTTCAAAAATATTTTGCCTCTAGATTCAGAATTTGAGCAAGATAAGAGGGAAGCATACCTTTTTGTGATGATTTTTAATGTGTCCACACATTTTCAGATACTCCTCCCTTGAAAGGTTACAGTCTAGTTACCATTCCTCTCTCTCACTAAGACATCCATGTGTGTGTTGGGGGAAGGGGGAGTTCCAATCCCTGGGGATAGCTAGCTGCCCTGCAGCCCTATGGAAACGTATACATAATGAAGTGCAGAGTGCAAACCTTGACCAAAAAAAGCTCAGGGACAGTGCCCAGACCCCAAGTTCAAGCTCCAGGACTGGCACTAAGTAAACTAACGAACTAAGTCAATAATTTAGGAAATAAGAACAAGGAATCTTAACACATGGTTATGCCTATGTATGTTAATATTTTAATCCTTTAGTAAGTGTGTCATATTAATTTAAAACTATAAGGTGTCAAATAGTACTATCTTACTAGGTCTATGACATTAAACACAATTGGGAAAGTTGAAGGAGCCAGGCACCAGTGGCTCACACCTGGAATACTGGCTACTCAGGAGCCTGAGATCTGAAGATCGCCAGAAAGAGCAGAAAAGTTCCTTTGAGACTCTTACCTCCAAAAAAGCCAGAAGTTGACTCTGTGGCTCAAGCAGAAAGATAGTCTTGAGTACAAACAGCCTTAGGGACAGCACCTAGGCCCTGAGTTCAAGCCTCAGGACAGGGAAAAAACTTGAAGGAAGGGCTGGGGACATAGTTCTACGAGTAAAGCACCTGCCTAGCAAGAGTACAAAGGCCCTGTTTAAAACCCAGAATTTCAAGGAAAAAAACCTGAAGGTAGATGGAAACATAAATAATAAACTTAAAAGTACTGAAGATATTCACAAAGCCATTGATAAATGCTTACCACCATAAAATCGAATCATACAGCTGAGGTCAGGATTTGTAGCCTCCTCCTGTATGCGCACAGGATCATCAAATCCCAGCCTAGATAAGTAGTCATAAACAATCTGAAGAGGTCGCTCAGTAGGTTCCAGTTTCCTGCTTCCACAATTCAAAAGAAAAAATATTTAATAAAATTGCTTTTAATTTTATATATCTTTCAATAAATATACTCTTAGTTTTTATTTCAAAATAAAGATCTTTTCCAATAGCATATTATACAACTACCAAACAAGTCGTTTTCAAACTTTGGGATCTCAGGGTCTCTTTATATTCATTAAGCAAATTGAACTGGGACTGTATAACTCAGTGATAAGCTAGCTTGATATAGCATTTCTCAAGGCTTAATCCCCATGAAGTGGCACTGTGGTTCAAGCTGTAGAGCGCTCGCCTTGAGCTGAAGAGTGCAGGGACAGCGCCCAAGCCCAGAGTTCAAGCTCCACGACCAACCAAAAAAAAAAAAAAAAAAAGGCTTAATCCCCAGCACAGAAAATAATATGAGGTTCAGAGAGTCTTATGAGTAGTACTCAATGACATCAGGGTTTAAACTAGTGTTGTATCATTACAAAATCAACCTTTTAGTCAAACAACATTAACTTTTATTGCTGAAATAATTCATTCAGAAGAGAGCTCAGAGCATTTTACACACACACACACACACACACACACACACACACACACACCTCATACCATAGAACCTAAAAGGTCATGTTTCTAGATTACTATATTCCATCACATATTTACACCATCATTCAAAAGAAACACTTTTTTTTTTGGTTGGTCATGGGGTTTGAACTTGGGGCATGGACCCTGTCCCTGAGCTCTTTTGCTCAAGGTGAGTGCTCTACCACTTGAGCCACAGTGCTACTTCTGGTTTTTGAGTGGTTTTGAGCCACTAGGACCTGACAGAAACAATTTTTTTTTTTTTGAGTCCAGTCGTGGGGCCTGAACTCTGGGCCTAGGCGCTGTCCCTCAGCTCTTCGGCTCAAGGTTAGCACTCTATCACTTGAGCCACAGCTCCACTTCTGGCTTTTTTTCTTTTTGCTTATGTGGTGCTGGGGAATTGAACCCAGGGCCTCAGGCATGCAAGGCAAGCGCTCTACCACTGAGCCACCTTCCCAGCCCGAAACAACATTTTTTATGCACCACCGTTGTATAATAAAAAGTATAACTGGACTTTGTCCCTGGCTCCTGGGAAATAAAACTCTAAATGCTAAATAGAAGTATCTTTGTTATTCAAAGACCCACCCCCTGAATTTATGCTAAGAGACAAGGTGATGTAGGCTGAGACCTAGACACCAGAAAGACCACCATCAGCAAGAATTTTGGACCAGCCTGACTTGGGTGGGTGAGACATGGGGACACATCTGGGCTCAATCACATGGGCAATAATTCAACTGGTCATGCCAATTTAAAGCTCTATATGAACTAGATATTGGTGGTTCACGCTTGTAATTCTAGTTACTCAGGAGGCTGAGAACTGAGGATCACAGTTTGAAGCCAGCCCGGGCAGTGAAGTCCAGGAGACTCTTATCTTGAATAAACTACTCAGAAAAAGCCAGAAGTGTCACTGTGGTCCAAATGGTAAAGTGCTATCCTTGAGCAAAGAGGCTCAGGGACAGAGCCCAGGTCCTTAGTTCAAGCCCAAGTAGCAGCCTGCATGTGCACACTGGCGCGCGCGCGCACGCACACACACACACACACACACACACACACTTCTGTAGAAACTCAAACACACACTCACACACACACACACTTCTGTAGAAACTCAATGGGCCTGGGCGCAGTCCCTCAGCTCTTCAGCTCAAGGAGAGCGCTCAATCACACCACAGCACCACTTCTGGTTTTCAGGAGGTTAATTGGAAATAAGAGTCTCACAGACTTTCCTGCCTGGGTTGGCTTTGAACCTTGATCTCAGCCTCCTGAGTAGCTAGGATTACATGTGTGAGCCACCAGCGCCTGGCTATTTTATTTTTTAATAGGGTCTTTCACTTTTGTCCAGGGCCAGTTTGGGACTATGATCCTTTTATTTGTGCATCCTGCCAAGCTAAGATCCCAGGCCCAAACCATTATGCCCAGTTGGATGAGATGAGAGGAATCATGGATGAGATGGAGTCATGACTATTACTCCAGCTGACCTCAAATCATGATCCTCTTGATCTCTGGCTTTAAAGTAGCTGGAATCGGGGCTGGGAAGGTGGCTCAGTGGTAAAGTGCTTGCCTTGCATGCCTGAGGCCCTGGGTTCGATTCCTCAGCACCACATAAGCAAAAAGAAAAAAGCCAGAAGTGGCGCTGTGGCTCAAGTGGTAGAGCGCTAGCCTTGGGCTGAAGAGCTGAGGGACAGCGCCTAGGCCCAGAGTTTAGGCCCCACGACCGGACCCAAAAAAAAAAAAAGAAAGTTAAAGTAGCTGGAATCATACCTATGCACAGTGGCTAAAAGTGTTTTTTTTTCTGTTAATTTTAAGAAGTCACCAAGCAAGTTAATGACGGAAAGATTAGAACTTAGGATCCAAATCCCACAAGTGTTCTTTTACAAACACCCTATTAGTTCTCACTTTATCTTAAAAAATGGCTATCAAACACTCAGAAATCTTAGTCATTTTGATGACTAATAGCAGATACATGACCATGAGTCAAAGGACAATCCATTTTATAACATATGATCTAGTTCCAACCCCATATCATTCGTCACAGAAATAAACAAATCAATTAAAAGACTCATATGGAAGCACAAAAGGCTCCATATAGCAAAAGTAATCCTGACCAAAAAGTGCAATGTTAGAGGTATCACAATGTTGTATTTCAATTATATTACAGAGCACAGTAACAAAAACATCCTGATACTGACACAAAAATAGATATAAAGACCAAAGGGACAGAATAGGAGACCAAGAAAGACAATCTATCACACAGTTGCTACCATCTAATTTTTTACCAAAAACATACATAAGAGAAAAATAGGAGGATATAAAGTTTCATACATGATAAAAGCCCAAATGTGTAATTATTAAGTGTATGTGTGAAAGATCTGGAGAAAAGAAAATCTTCAAGGATGGGTGTCATCATCATCTGGTGCCATCACACCAACCAATGCCTAGCTTTAACCCTTAGGTTGATGTTTAACCCTCTTAACCTCACTTTCCACATCTATAAAATAGAGATAGTTTACCTCACAATATTATTGACATTTGGATAGTTTCTTTTTATATCTTTTCATTTTCCAAAATTTCTTCAATGAATACTTTATACTTCAAGTAATCAGCAAAAAAAGGTTCTCAAAATGATAATGCCTAGAGGGCCAACTACCTTATAAAAAGCTATTCTAAAGAAAGTACTTACTCCTCTGATTAGATAACCAGAGGCTGAACTCCAGCAATTAACAGCTGAGCAAAAGATCTAAAGAAGATATGGAAATAGTCATAAATTAGCTGTAAAACTGAGTAAGAAGACTGCTGTGGCAACTCTTTTCCTGCAGAGCCTTTACTCAAAAGGAAGGAAAAAGTTCTGCCTTGAATGTTAGGCATTCCAACTGCCTCACAGTACCTGCCAGATCTTGAGCAGATTTCTGGACCTCTAACAAAGCCTGTCTTCCTTATCTGAAAGGAATGAAGCTACCTCCTTTGTAGTTCTTACAGAGGTTAAAGATGAAAATGGACAAATAACCCTAAGCACACTGGCTAGAACGAGCAATCACTCATCTTGGAACCTATCACCATCCTCCTTAGTTATTTAGTTAACATAAGCTCCTCCTGTAACAACTAAAACGTACACATTCTATCAAACCACAGTTCGATGTTTCCATTATTTTTAGTCAATTATGTCTTCAAAGAACTATTTCATTATAAATTATCAAGGATACAGGGGTAAAAAGAAACAGACTTTCCAATTTAAGTGTAGATTAGATTCTCATGATAAACTATTTCACATCTGAATTCTTAGCTAATTGCACTAGTAAAAGCACAACAATTCCAAGGGGAGTTTCACCAGCATGTCTAAGATCATTGTACATGCACACATTAGTAAACAAATGAGTAAGTCATGTGCTTAAATACGTGAATGCAATCAATCACTACTAGCTACAATCTAGGTCAAGGCTTTCCACCTGATAAAATTAGATTAGAATCAGTGTTAAGATTTAGAAAAGCCTAAGGATCACTCAGTCTGATCCTTTTATTGAACAAATGGATTTAGGAAATGTAGAGAACAAGGAAAACATTCAAATGCTAATCTACTTTTTTAGGATTTAGTCCAAATTCAAAAAAGAATACACAGGAAACCTCAGTTTACACCTTAAAATTACATTAATTTTCAGCTCAGCAAAAGGTGTTACTATTATTACCACACTTTCAAGGTGTAAGTAAGAGCTTCACTTCTCACTTAACAGGATTGAATCTACAGCTCTGAATTGTTTCAAGACATTTCATTATTATAGTAAACAGGCAGAACAAAAAATAATGGTTAGTCATTTAAAAAGCTCTTATTTGACATCTAATTCAAATAACCAATATTTTTCTTGTACCAGTCCTGGGGCTTGAACTCAGAGCCTGGGAGCTGTTCCTGAGCTTTTGTGTTCAAGGCTAGCACTCTATCACTTGAGCCACAGCTCCTCTACTGGCTTTTTGGTGATTAATTGGAGATAAGAATCCCCCCCCCCCCAAAAAAAAAAATAATCCCACAGGTTTTCCTGTCCAGCCTGGCTTTGAACCATGATCCTAAGATCTCCTGAGTAGATGGATTACAAGAGTAAATTTTTCCTCATTTAATAAGATATTGGCTACAGGTTCGTCATGTATATCCTTTAATTTGTTGTGATACATTCCTTCTGTTCCTAGTTACTTCAGATCTTTTATCATAAAAGGATCTTGATTTTTTTTTTTTTTGTCGGTCATGGGGCTTGAACTCTGTTGGGTGCTGTCCTTGCGCTCTTCAGCTCAAGGCGAGCCTCTACCGCTTGAGCCACAGCGCTACTTCTGGTTTTCTAGTGGTTTATTGAAGATAAAAGTTTCACGAAGTTTCCTGCCTGGGCTGGTTTGAACCGCGATCCTCAGATCTCAGCCTCCTGAGTAGCTAGGAGAGATTTTCTTCATGCTTATATATAAAAACTTTAAAAATGAATGGCTTTTAAGCCTATGGAAACATGCTCAACTTCACTGATCAAAAAAAGTTAAAGGGCCAGGTGCCGGTGGCTCACGCCTGTAATCCTATCTACTCAGGAGGCTGAGATCTGAGGATCTCAGTTCAAAGCCAGTCCAGGCAGGAAAGCCCGTAAGACTCTCATCTCCAATAAACCACGAGAAAACCGGAAGTGAGCTGTGGCTCAAGCAGTAGAGCACTCGCCTTGAGTGGAAGAGCCCAGGGACAGCGCCCAGGCCCAGAGTTCAAGCCCCATGACCTACCAAAAAAAAAGGTAAAGGGCTGGGAAGGTGGCTCAGTGGTAGAGTGCTTGCCTTGCATGCATGAGGCCCTGGGTTCAATTCCTCAGCACCACATAAGCAGAAAAAGCCAGAAGTGGTGCTGTAGTTCAAGTGGTAGAGTGCTAGCCTTGAGCTGAAGAGCTGAAGGACATCGCCCAGGCCCAGAGTTCAAGCCCCACAACTGACAAAAAAAAACAAAAACAAAAAACATTAAAACAACCAAACAGCAAAATGATTGTCTTTAGAACACTGACTCTAGGGATCTCTAATGTTAAAACTGTCAGCAGGGGCTGAAGGTTTAGTTCAGTAGTAAAGCACTTGTCTAGCATGAATAAAGAAATCAATAACATAAAAATTGCCAATGATCACTGCTATTTACAAGCAGGATGTGCTCCATCATGAGTATATTTATTTATTTATTTACATATAAAATGTAATGCTTAAAATGTTTTGGAGAGGGCTGGGAAGGTGGCTCAGTGTTAAAGTGCTTGCCTTGCATGCATGAGGCCCTGGGTTTGATTCCTCAGCACCACATAAGCAGAAAAATCCAGAAGTGGCACTGTGGCTCAAGTGGTAGAGAGCTAGCCTTGAGCTGAAGAGCTGAGGGACAGTGCCCAGGTCCAAAGTTCAGGCCTCACAACCGACCAAAAAAAAAAAAATGTTTTGGAGAAAGTAAGGGAAATGTGTACACTTTTATGTTTTGAATGGAACTATAAATCTGCAGGGGGCAAACTTACAATAGGCCATAACCTTTGACACTTCGGCACTTTCACTTCTGGAAGTTTATGTTACACATAGACTCCCACATAAAAGGGCTATCACAGGTATAAGGACATTCACTGTAGCAGTGTTGGTACTACCTAAAATTCGGTAATGAAAAACTGGAAAAGAGGGAAGGAGAGACATTGTCCAAAAAGAAATGTACTCATTACCTGACTTATATGACTGTAACCCCTCTATACATCATCTTTGTAAAAAGAAACAAATTTAGTAACAGGTTGAATGCTTGTAATAAGAGATTGACTACAATTATGGTAGACTGATTAAGTCCCTTTTTAAAAAGGTCTGGGTTCACCAGTGGCTCAAGCCTGTAATCCTAGCTATTCAAGAGGCTGAGATCTGAGGATCACAGTTCAAAGCCAGCTTGGCAAGAAAAGTCTGTGAGATGCTTATCTCCAATAAACTAAATACTCAGAAAAAGTTGGAAGTGGCTCTGTGGCTCAGGTGGTAAAGTTCTAGCCTTGAGCAAAAGAAGCTCAGGGACAGCACCCAGGCCCAGAGTTTAAGCCCCAGGACTGGCCAAAAAAAAATGTCTATGTAGTTGAGGAGTAGGCAACACATAAGGTTCTGCTTCTTACTCTATATCCTTTAGTACATCTCAATCTCACTCTATTTACACTTATCCAAAAAACAACCTTTAAAAACTTTTTAAGTTTAAATACCTAACCTATGATGTATTCCAAATAAAATAACAAATTTTCCTTCATGACAAATTTTCAATTTAAGAGTCATAAAATCAACATTTCAAGAGAAATTTTTCTCGTCTAGTGACTCTGTAATCAACATCAGTTTCCATATGATTAAAAACTTAAAATCTACCTGGGCTCCAGTAGCTCACTCCTGTAATCCTATCTATTCAGAAAGCTGAGATCTGAGGATCACAGTTCAAAGCCAGCCTGGGCAGGAACGTCCATGAAACTCTCTTTTCTCCAATTAACCACCAGGAAAGCAGAAGTGGCACTGTGGATCAAGTGGTAAAGCACTAGCCTTGAGCTGAAGAGCTCAGGGACAGCACCCAGGCCCAGAGTTTAAGACCCATGACCGACAAAAAAAAAAAAAAACCTTAAAATTTATTTCCAAGCAGAATGTATATTACTGACAGTGAAGCAGATTTAGCCTGGTAAAATTCAAACCTTAGCTGGGCATGCTGGCACACACCTATAATCCTACGACTTGGGAAACTGAATAAGAGGCCAGTCTGGAATATAGAGAGAGACTCCATTTCAAAAGAAAAAAAAGGAAAAATCCATCCCAAAACTTACCTAACCAGGTCTCCGTGAAGCTGTAAGTAAAGACTTTCTCTTCCCTCTCCAGCACATATTTCTGATGCTGGTGTCTCTACTGTGCAAAGGACAAGATGTAAGTCTGAGGAGAAAGAGGAAGAAGAGGAAGTAGAAGAGGAGGAAGAGGTGGTAGTAGTTGCGGTGGCAGTGGTGGTATCTGCTCCATAAAGGTAAACACAGCCTCTCTTCACATCTTCTTTCAGCCAGTCTCTTTCTCGAGAACCAAACCTACTTCTTCTATTTAAACAATTTCTGCTCCCATTACGTTTCATATTTCTCTACAAAAAATACCAAGAGAAAGAAATAATTAGAATGTTTCATCCCACCTCTACATTTTATATTCACCACCTCTGCCCAAACACTCCTCCTCCTGCCACCAGATCTCCTATGTTTGCCATTCTCATTCTCAGCCCAGATAGCTTTCTTTACTGTTCATACCTCTAGTCATCATCAACGCTGATCCTCTTTTTTTCTGTTTTCAGAACAGTGTCAGGAGCAACAAAAGACTTACATACCTATTACCCAACTTGTAGAATTTTTTTCAGTATTTTCCCTATTTAGTTCGGATCATTATTCCAAAGAACATTCTCTCTGTTTGTGTAATTCCTACATTTACAGCCAAGGCTACCTGGTACCACACCAAAATCTCCACTTCCTCTCTCTCCAAGAAAACAACATAGTACTGTACTTGGTATTTAGTATTTTGTGGATTTTTTTTTATGTTTGCCATATATGTATACCATAAATAAATGTGTACATGTGTGCATGGGTGCACTTGTACTCAGGGCCTGGGTGTTGTCCCTTAGCTTTTTTGCTCAAGGCTAGCATGCTGCCACTTGAGCCATACCTCCAGTTTCAGTTTTATGCTAGGAAATTGGAAATAAAGAGTTTCATGAGCGTTTCTGCCCAGCTGGCTTCAAACCATGATCCTCAGATCTCAATCTCCTGATTAGTGCCCAGCACATAAAGTCTTTACAATAGCATTTTACCTCTTTTAAAACTTTATCTAAACCTTAACATTGACTTAGAAATATGTATCTATGTAAATAGAGCAGCTCACGCATATGAACACACCACAACTTAGCCACTCTCCCATTGATGACAGTTAGTTTCCAATGCTTCATTGACAGAAACAGCCCTTCAATAAAAATGCTGTGTTTTCATACAAATTTGTAAGTTTTCCTAAGGTCTTAACCTTTTACCTCATAGTCCAAATAAGCAGATACAGTGTTGATGCAATATTGCCCAAATATTCTTTCTATTCCTAGTATGTCTCAAAAATTACTTTTCCACTTTATATCCAAAGTTATGTGAAGTTCAGATACATATTGTGAAGTAAAGCAATCTCAAAGTAAAAACAACTGCTTTAATATATTAAGTTTTTAGCCCAGTGGGCAAAGTGATGCATGCCTCTAATGCTACCACTTGAACCACAGCACCACTTCCGGTTTTCTAGTGGTTTATTGGAGATAAGGGTCTCACGGACTTTCCTGCCCAGACTGGCTTTGAACCACGATCCTCACATCTCAGCCTCCTGAGTAGCTAGGATTACAGGCATGAGCACAAGCTAAGCAACAGTGGCTCATGCCTGTATTTCCAGCCATCAGGAAGCTGAGCTCTGATGATCACAGTTCAAAGCCAGCCCGGGGCAGGAAAGTCCCATGAGACTTTTATCCCCCTCGCTATTTCAAGGTGCACTTCAAGGCTTCATTGTACTGCAGGTTAAAAAAAGAAAAAAAGTAAATATTTACCCCTCGGGCTAGGAAAGTGGCTCAGGGGTACAGCGCTTGCCTTGCCCTAGGTTCGATTCCTCAGCACCACATAGCAGAAAAAAAAAGCCGCAAGTGATGCTATGGTTCAAGTGATAGTGCGCTAGCCTTGAGCTGAAGAGCTGAGGGACAGCACCCAGGCCCAGAGTTCAGGGCCCACACCGGACCCCCCAAAAAAAGAAAAAAAGTTACCCCTCACCTATTGTGGGCATTACATTCCCCGCCATAAGTGAAAAATCTGCCAAGTAGCAGAGGACAACTATCTAAAGCTGCTCTTGGAAGTGGGGCTGTGGCTCAGTGGTAAAGTACTAGCCTTGAGCAAAAGAGGCTCAAGGACAGCACCCAGGCCCTGAGTTCAAGCCCCAGGATTGGCAAGAGAGAAGAAAGGGAAGGGAAAAGGGAAGGGAAGGGAAGGGAAGGGAAGGGAACTCAAGAGCCATCATATTACACCACTAAGTCATTTGTGTGTGTCTGTGTATATGCTGGCCCTGGGCTTGAACTTGAGGAATGGCTGCTGTCCCTGATCTTTTTTGTTCAAAACTAGCACTCTACCACTTGAACCACAGCTCTATTTCCAGCTTTTTGGTGATTAACTTAAGATAAGAATCTCATAGGCTTTCCTGCCTGGGATGCTTTGAACCATGATCCTCAGATCTCAGCCTTCTGAGCACTAGGATTACAGGTGTGAGCCATCCATGCCCAGCTCCACTAAGTAATGTTTAACCATTAAATAGTTAATCACTGGCTATTTCTGAATAGCTCTCATTTTTCAATCTTTTAGAAAGATTAACTGGTTCATCTAACCAGTATTCTATATGGTAATCTTTATTCTAAAACAAAAAAAAAGCTCCCTATTCTGTATTCCGTGGAGAAAAAACACTAAGCAGACATTATTCCACCCAACCACCAAAGTATGTCTTGAAAACAAACTTTCTCCAGTCCACTAATAGTCTGCTGACCTTCACAATTAAACAAAAAGTCAAAAGACCTCATTAATTCATATTTGATTTTTTTTTCCTTCAGTGAGAACTTTTAACAAGTCCTTTGTAAATGTACATACATACATATTTAAGACTATAAACTCCTTAAGAAATTTCACACTATGAAAACATATGTTGTTGGTTGTCAGTTACCTCAAGACAGGCTCTACCCTATGGAGAAAAACTGCTGAGCTATCACCTTAGTAGATTCTGTTCTCCAGAACCTTATTAATGGACATTTTTAAGATCTGGAGAATAAACAAAGCAAAGCAACAATCTGCATTGGCTGTTCAGCTATTATTAGCCACTGCTGAATTACTTAGTTCTTCCTTCTTCTCAGGAATGTCTTGCTCTACTGCCCAACACATCAGGTAACTATTAGAAAGGTCTGCAGCCAGTACTGCAGATGACAGTCCTCTGAACTGCTTTCTGTTTCTAGAATTTGTATTCCACATGGAGCTGCTAGATTGAGGCCACTTTATTTTCTTCTTACTCTTATGTAAAAGCTGTTATCACAAACTTATCTAAAAGGGAATACAACTTTAATTATATCATATTAAACAAACAAATAAAGAGAACATTTATTATTTAAAGATCTTTCTAGAGAGCAAAACTTTTTAGAGTAAGCCATAAAGAATATACTACTAGTTTTACGTGTGTGTGTGTGTGTGTGTGTGCGCGCGTGTGCGCGCACGCCAGTCCTAGGACTTGAACCCAGGGCCTGAGAGCTGCCCTTGAGCTTTTTTTGCTCAAGGCCAGCACTCTTACCACTTGAGCCACAGTTCCATTTCTGGCTTTATGGTTGTCAACTGAATTTAAGAGTCTCACAGACTTTCTGGCTCCTGGCTTCGAACCACAATCCTCAGATCTCAGCCTCTTGCGTTGCTAGGGTTTTAAGCATGAGTCACTCACACTCTGCTCAGTTTTTTTGTTTGTTTTTGGTCAGTCGTGGGGCTTGAATTCTGGGCCTGCGCCTGTCCCTCAGCTCTTCAGCTCAAGGTGAGCGCTCTACCACTTGAGCCACCACTTCCAGTTTTCTGGTGGTTAATTGGAGATAAGAGTCTCAGGGAGGGCTGGGAAGGTGGCTCAGTGGTAGAGCGCTTGCCTTGCATGCTCGAGGCCCTGGGTTCGATTCCTCAGCACCACATAAGCAAAAAGAAAAAAGCCGGAAGTGGCGCTGTGGCTCAAGTGGTAGAGCGCTAGCCTTGAGCTGAAGAGCTGAGGGACAGCGCCCAGGCCCAGAGTTCAGGCCCCACGACCGGACCCAAAAAAAAAAAAAAAAAAAGAGTCTCAGGGACTTTCCTGCCCAGGCTGGCTTTGAACCATGATCTTCAGATCTCAGTCTCCTGAGAAACTAAGATTACAGGTGTGATCCATAACCGCCATGCTCAGTTTTATTTTTAACTCTTAAAATTACAGACAAGGTGTCAGATGTGAGTGACTCAAGACTGTAATTCTAGCTACTTAGGAGGCTGAGATCTGAGACTCTGCCAGCCCAGACAGAAAAGTCTGTGAGACTCTTATCTCCAACAAACTACTCAGAAAAATACAGTAGTGAAACTGTGGTTCAAGTGGTGGAGCACTAGCCTTGAGACTCAGGAACAGGGCCCAAGCCCAGAGTTCAGGCCCCACAACAGACAAAAAAAAAAAAAGTTCCGCGGCATTCACTGATTAATTATAACTTTTTATCTTCTACAGATTAAGCAAAATTTTTTAAAAGGGCTGTAACCTCAAAGCTATGGAAATATCTGAAGAAACTACCAACTTACATTTCAGCACTTTGCTAAATACATTTTGGAAGTTTTCTTTTTATTTTGGCAGCACTGGTGATTGAACTTACAAGAAGTTAGGCACTATACACTTTAAGCCACCCTTCCAGTCCATTTTTACTTTAGTCACTTTTTATTATGCTTAGGCTGCTTGGGCTGTGATTCTTCTATTTGTTCTTCTTGCTGTTGGTGGGGATGATAGGCACACGCCACAGGGCCCAGCCAGTGTGCTTCCTCTGAAACAAGGATACTTTATGTGTACCACTATGCCCAGCCTATGGCTGAGATGGAATCTCACAGACTTTTTTTTCCCATCCCAGTCCTGGAGCTTGAACTCAGGGCCTGGGCACTGTCCTTCAGCCTTTATGTGCTCAAGGCTAGCGCTTTACCACTTGAGCCACAGCCCCACTTCTGGCCTTTCCTGTTTATTTGGTACTGAGAAATTGAACCCAGGGTTTCATGCATGCTAGGCAAGCACTCTACCACTAAGCCACATTCCCAGCCCCTCACAGACTTTTATGCCTGAACTGGCTTTCTGAATGGCCATCTTTACATCTCTGCTAAGGATTACAGGCTTGAGCCACTGTACTATGCTGTGAATTTGTTTTAAAACAGTTTTGCCATGTTACCCAGGCTGGGTTTGAACTCCTGAGCCTCCTTTGTCAGCCTCCTGAAAAGCTGGAACTACAGTTACATGCCATCACACTAAGCTGAGGGCCATATTTTGAGTAAAAAATTTCAATACCCCATATAAACAAA